TATAACATAAAAAATTGAATTCAAAATATTAACAAAAACTAATATATTGTGCAACTAATATGTAGCCAATGGGAAGTGGAACTATTGTTAACTGCTCTGCCTGGCACATAAGCACTGCAAGGTGAATGGAGATCTCTCAGGATTAGTGGATTGAGTGTGACTGTTCAGTATGAAGCTCTCGGCACAGTCTGAATGAACAGAACTGAATGTCCTGTAAAAGACAAATCATAAAAAGCCCATCACCTTCAACTCAACCTTGCCAAGACAGAACTGCTTGTGGTTTCAACAAACCCATCACTTCATCACAATTTCACCATCCAGTTAGGCGCATCAACAACCATAACTCCTTCAAAGACAGTCAGAAACATTGGAGTTATGATTGATGATCAGCTGAATTTCTCAGACCACATTGCTAAAAATGCCCAGTCCTGCAGATTTGCTTTATACAACATTAGGAATATCAGGCCCTTTCTTTCGGAACATGCTACACAACTCATTGTTCAAGCTCTTGTTTTGTCCAGGCAGGACTATTGCAATGCTCTCTTAGCAGATCTTCCAGCCACTTCTATCAAACCTCTACAACTAATCCAGAATGCGGCTGCAAGATTAGTCTTTAACGAGCTGAAAAGAACACATGTCACAGTCACACCTCTTTCCATCAGTTTACACTGGCTAATAGCTGCTCGTGTAAAATTCAAGGCATTGATGTTTGCCTACAAAACCACCACTGGCTCTGCACCCCTTTACCTAAATTCACTACTTATAGACTTATGTGCCTTCTAGAAGCTTGCGTTCTGCAAGTGAACGACGCATTATAGTGCCTTCCCAAAGAGGTACAAAATCACTTTCACTGACTTTTACATTAACTGTTCCCTCTTGGTGGAATGACCTGCCCAACTCAATCCGAGCTGAGTCCTTAGCCATCTTTAAGAATCGTCTAAAAACAAAAATCTCTTACATCTTAATTTGACCCTTTAACTCTAGCACTCTCTATTCTAATCCTAAAACAAACAAACAAACAAAAAACACTTGACCCTCTAACACTTGCACTCTATTCTATTTCTATTCTTACTACTTGTTTTCTTTAAAAAAAAAAGATCCTCTGACACTAGCATTCTCTATTCCTTTCTTTTTCTATTTTCTTTTTTTATTCTATCTTCTTGTTTTCTTTTTATTTATTATAACAAAATTATGTAATTAATACATATTATATTAATTACATATAATAAAATCTAAAAAGAAAAGTCTGCCAAATGACTAAATGTAAATGTCTGGCTGACAGTTTTTAGCATCTTATCCTCATCTCAGCAGGATGGCAGAGAATGTGAAATAATCTCCTGAATCAGGGACGCTCTGCCAGGCGTGCCATTGCATACCCTTGAACTGTCATCAGTGAAGCTTAGCGTGTGTGTGTTTGTGTGTGTGAGTCTTACCGTGACTGATTATGAAATCACGTCAGATGAGGATCATGGGGCTTATCTCAGCACTGATGCAATAGGACGTTACAGGACATGAGAATGAGGGGGGATAGTTGTTCTTCATTACTGTAAAGTGAGACACTGTATCACTTTACAGATGTAGCTGTTAGATGCATGAGTTGCTACAATGGTTGTAACAGATATCCTACTATTCCAAACAACTGAGAACCTTTCTTCTTCCCTAAAAAGCTTTTAAAGTTTTTTTTAAAGTCCTCTATCCATAATATTGCTTTTTTTTTCTCAGCGAAAAGAAGTCATCTTGTCAAATCTTTTCACTTCACAAGACATTAAAGGTGGGGTAAGTGATTTCTGGTAGCCAATGTTGATATTTCAAATAACCAAAACAAACACGTCCCTACCCCAAAAGGGTCTCGCCCCTATTTTGATAGCTCCGCCCCTCACATACATATGCAACCCAGACAACGATTAGTTCTATGAAACAAAGCAAAACCAATGTTACACCGTGTCTACACCAGACGCGAGCGGCGCGACAAAATACTATAGAACTCATTATAATCAGTGATGCTATCTACACTGGATGCGGCGCGGCGCGGCACGACAAATCCCCGACAGAAAACTGCTGCTGCGTTCTATTTATGACGTATTGACACAAATTTCAAATGATTTTTAACGGTCGCTTTATCCCGTCCACTGTAGACAGACTTTAGCTGTTGTGGCGCAGCGCGACAACTTTCCCGTCCGGTGTAGACACGGTGTTACACACCTATCTAGAAGAAACAAAACAAACTCGGCGTCCGATCGCAGGCCTTCCGCTCCTTGAGTTCTTTCTAGCGCTGGAAAGATGATCCGATATTTACACGGGTCCTGCTTCTTGCCTTATCGTAAGCCTTCTTTTGTTCCGCAGACGTTTTCCTCTTTCGTTTTTTATCCGCCATCTCTATCTTTCTGTCGCTCGGCTCAAGGCTAATGTGTGTCCTGTGCACTGAGCGCTCTCTCCTCCTCATCATGAGTAGACACACCCCTTACTGCTGATTGGCTACAAGTTTGTTTTGGTACTCGGCCTGACTCAGTTTTCTAAAGCGTTTTTGAAAAAATACATACCCCACCTTTAATTGATGGACTGTAGTCATATGGATTACTTGTGGATTATTGTGATGTTTTTATCAGCTGTTTGGACTCTCATTCTGACGGCACCCATTCACTGCAGAGGATCCATTGGTGAGCAAGTGACGTAATGTTAAATGTCTCTAGTTTCTCATTACTAGCAGATACATAATGAGATGTTTAAAATATTCTTCTTTCCTACTGATTATGTGAAGCATTGATAATATGTGAGTTATGAAATTCTTCATAAATTATCTGATAATCTGTGCAATTCTGAGCAAACCAACCTTTTGTACATGACTGTTTACTCAGTCTCTTGGGAAAATTAATGTACGGTTAAAAATAGAACTTCTTTCTTGAATATCCTTGAATATAATATAATTCTCCTTTCAGTCGCAGACAAGAATGCATTCTTCTTTGAAGCCAAAATAACCACATATCACTTTGAAAAAACTGATTATAGATTCCTAAGTACATAATGTTCCTCATCTTGCACAACCTGACAGTGTAGCAAGATTTAATTTGACTTGCTTACCAGATTCAGTATATTCCCACAGGCCTTGAAATCCACAGAGGCAGCATTTCTGTAACTTGAACTCTGGTTTTCTTCAATGATCCTTACTGTTTTGTTACCCATTGACTTCCATGAACAAAAATACATTGGAAGTCAATTTGAACTGAAACTGTTTGGCTTTCTTCAAAATATATTCTTTTTATGTTCCACAGAAGAAGTAGGCAACCAGTAGTGGGAACGCCTACTAGCGACCTCAATTGCCAGCCACAAGCGACAAGCAGCGAAAAAGTCTCTGGCGGTGTGAACGGGGCTTAAGAAGTTCGTAAAAACGATCGTACGACTGATCTTAATATTACGGTCTGTTTCCCAAAAGCATCGTAACTTAAGTAGCACTTGAAAATCATTGTAGATCTACGAGTGCTCTGGAGTAATCAAAACAGTGTAAAGAAATAGTCTTTGTGAGAAGCAGTCAATCAGCAGAAGTTAAAAGCAGCTTGTAAGTGTATTTATTTCTTGTCGCAGTGTTTAGCGCAGTTGTCGTTGCTAGGAAACGCTTGTTTTGTTTACTGTGGAGACGTGCTGAAATGGCGTTTGGTCTCGTACTGTGTCGCGTACCTTGTCAGTGTCGTGCGCTTTGCCTGGCCATTTGTTGTGATAAACAGGAAAGTGTGTCCAGCTGAATTCAATTTGAGTTTTGTTAAACTAATTAAAAAGAAGCAAAAGCGTCTGCTAAATGACTAAAAGTAAAAGTAAAGTAAAGAAGAAGGAAAGTCAAACAGGTTTGGAACAACATGAGTAAATGATGACAGAGTTTTCATTTTGGGGCTGAACTATTCATTTAAGTAAAAAAGTTTTTAAGTTCTAATTTTATTGTCATCAGCATGAATTTCCTCAACAACCACATGATTTGAAGTATTCATGTCCAGTGAAGGATGTTTGTTCAAATCCCTATGTACTGTATTAGTGATGCTTGCCTTAGCCAACACCACTAATAAAAGGCCATTTCAGTGTTGTCACCAGCTGCACCATCCTAAGCAAAAACCTCTCTGCAGAAATTGCTTACAACATCCTTGAGGCCAAACTGGATCTGTGGCGCGGAACAAACCGAGTTTGCAAGATTCTGCTTCACACAGATAAGAAGCTCTGTGAAGGAGCAGTCCTATTAAAACCAGACCCCAGTATGCATTTTGTCTTTCTGGGCACCTTCTCAATCTCATCAATGCATTCAGCACTAGAAATTATAATGTGAAACAGCAAGACCATTGTAGTTCAGCCAAGCAGGGTTATTATAGTTAACTAAAACCATAAAAAATGTTTGGGTACTTGAAATAAAATATGAAAAAAATAGTAAACAAGAATGATTACAGCTTGCTGCCATGGCAGCTTTTCACATTTTTATTTAGTTTACCTTGATATACTAAAATAACTAAAACTAAAACTGAAATAAAATTAATGAAAGCTATGTAGACACACACATATATATATAAATTAAAAATGACAAAAACACAACACAAAATGACTAATATTTAAACTAAAATTGAAATAAAAACGTAAATATGACAATAAAAATTAATTCAAAATATTACAAAAAACTCAACGACACTAAAATAAGATGCAGCCGAGATCAATAAGATGCATGACTATAAGAACTACTGCAGGTTATGGACTAAACATAAGAAGATTATGATTTACATTTTGTAAAGTGTAAATATGATTGTTTTGAGAGTTTGCAGAAGCCCTGGATGATTATGATTTACTGACAGCAGTTGCATGAGGCCTCGATAACCCACAATGAGCATTTCACTAGAAGCTGGAGTAGACTGGAAAAGCTGATTGAAAACATTATTTTTGCAAATCTGTTCGGCGATGCTTACGGTGCAGAAGAAACACAGCTGTCAAGAATTGTGAAAGAGTAAAACAAAAAACAAACTCATGTTCTCAGCAAAGTAATTCTATTTATTGTTCAAAGGAAGTCTGTGGAGAATTACAGCAGTACACACTTGACTGAAGAGCTGCCTTTATCACATAACACAGTACAGACAAGAATGAGGTCAAAACTTATATGAATAGTGAAATTAGTAAAAAATCACTATGGCTCCAAGGTGGTGTGTATGGCTAATTCTTGTGGTTACAGAAGGCCTGAAAATTAAAACGAAAGGGAGTTCACTCCTTTTTCTCTGATCAAATTATAAATGCATAAACACCCACTCAATATCAGTAAGAGAAGGATAACAGAGGGAAGTTGCTAACAGGCACACACATTTGGACAGATCTGGGAGAAGAGGAGAAAACAGGCTGCAGTAAGACTCAGAAATGTGACAACTTAATATACAGAGGAAGAGACTTGAGAAAAAAAAAAAAGAATAGTGTTATATTGTCATTTGGGTTGTTGAAAAAAGGAATACAAACTAAACTGAGAACTAGTCTAGTTTGTATATTTCACAATTTTGTCATTCTTTTTCTATGCTCTTTCAACCATAAAGACTATAGGAAATGTATGGAAAACGAGTAAGAAATATTTCCCTATGTATAATTGCATCCGAGTTTTATTTGTTTAAATAGCCTGTTCAGGAAGCGTTTATAATTGATTCTATATGTCTATATATAAATATATTTCTGTATATATATATATATATAATTTTTTTTTCTGTATATTGTTTTTAAAAATAAATCTATTTAAACCCAGTTGGGTGTTGTTCTGCATTTGATTTCCTTTCCAGTTATGTCACCAAAGCTCTCCATGTATTAAATTCGAAAACTACTAATTTGTCCCGGCTTGATGTCAGGCAAACCAGTATCATTCCCTTTAAAAGAGCCAAATCAAACCCAGTATCAATGGTAAATTTAGCGGCATCAGCACCAATGCACTTCCCAATTTAGTACATACAATCAAGAGTAATTTGCTCTCAAGATGCAGTAGGAAAACAAAATAAAACTCACCAGCCCGCGTGAACCTCAATCTTCACAGCGCGCCGGCGGAGCACGGTTTTATAGCACCATTTGAACTGTTTGTACATTGTTGCTTGAACTGTATTGTGTGTCCACAAGTTGAACTCTATAACAACCTCCAATTTTTACACTGTTTGATCCGAGTCTTTTATATATATGTATATATACACACACACAAATTAGTAGAGAACACGTCCTGAATGAGCTAACTATGAGATTCACACATCATTCAGATGATGCTGGTTTGCTCTCCATCGTATGGTACAACACCAAAAACACCTATAGTAGAGATATTCATCGAATCTTGATACACTAACACCAAACGTCCCTGTCGACTCGTTTGTGAACTCAGTAACTAAGTCTCTGGGTGAAAGGGTGTTTTTTTTTCTCTTTGTAAAGGGGAGAACTTTCAAAATGACAAGACCTATAGAGCAGCCAGCAGAAATATCCATTTATCTAGCCAAATATCGTCTATACTGCTTTAAACAGGATTCTCTTACATATACATGACATTGTTTCTCAGTCAAACATCTTTATTCGCCATAGAGCATTAATGTTCTTCGTTTCATGCACGGTAATTCTTTCCCCTCCTGCGCGCGGTTCTCGCTCTGTGCGGTCGACCCAGCGACGGAACACCTGCGCGGGTCAGTCGTCATCCAAGTCGTCGCCCTCCGACTCCTCTCCAGCTCTCCGTTCGTACACTTTATCTCTGTGCCGCTCCTGGATCTCCTTCATCTCCTCGGCGTAGCGGCAGAACGCTCCGCCGAACTTGCTCCACGCTTTGAAGGGTATCGTGATAGAGTTTCTGTAACTGGGCTTCACCTCGCTCACCCGCAGAAACACCCCGTACTTGTTGGAGCCCACGTCAAAGAAGAACCGCTTGGAGTCCACCGTGATTGACGTGCCCTCGGGGAGCTCCCCGTAACCTCCGGCGCAGCCGCCGCCGACCAGCTCCTCGTCGTCCCCGCCGTAGTCGTCGATCAGCTTGGCCAGGGCGTCGCGGAACTCGATGAGACCCTGAGCTGGAAGGGCAATGGTTTGCCCGGATTGCATGCCACCCCCGGGTACACCTCCTCCGACGCCAAAGCCACCAGGCCCGCGGTTGACGGTCTGACGGATCCGGAGGAACCTCCCCCGCTGGTTCTCCTTCAAATCGAGGTAGTATTTGCGGTTTTCCCTCACTAGGAACTCGCTCTTCAAGGCCCGTCTAGGCCCGCCGTCCTCGCCGCCGGAGGACTGAGCGATCTGCTCCGGGGAGCTGGGTCCGAGCTGGGAGTAGTGCTCAATGAAATCCCCCAGGTAGTCCCGAAACTCCGCCGCGACTGACATGGAAAGTGTCAAGCGACTTTTGGAGCCCCCAGCGCCGACCTCGGCGATCTTGATGAACCTGCCCTTCGAGTTTTGCTTCACGTCCAGATAGAAGCGCTTGTTTTGGATGTCAAGCCGTTTGGACGCCAGCTCCTGGGTCTCTTGATCCCTCTGGAAAGGCTGGAATCCGCTTCCTCCACCGCTTCCTCCACCTCCGCCGCCGCTGCTTCCACCGCGCTCACTCCCACTATCCCCATCCGCCATCTTCACCATCACCCAGAGCTGCGTTTTGTTTTCCCACCCGTATTTCATCAGGTCCCGCCTTCGGAGGCATGAGAACGTCGTATGAATGGCCCATTGCTCTGGAACGTCACCTCCTTAGGAACATCTTGGATTGGGCGTTTGACGTGTCAGTCATAAATTCGCTTCTCCAATTGGATCGCAACCTGTCCGTTATGCGAGTAAACGCCGAATCCTCATTCTCTTTGGCTCACTAGGACTGTCTGTCAAAGTGTAAAGCGCACCCTATTGTTTTGACAGTACCATGGGCGATTGGTGTACAGCGGTGTCGATAACGTGTTAACACAAGCACTTTATTGCAGATAACACTTAGCCTTTCCAACGGTACATGGAGAATAATCCCTCAGTCAACCTTTTATCGTTTTCTAGTAATTTACATATCAGAATCAGAATCAGAAGAGCTTTATTACCAAGTATGTTTACACACACAAGGAATTTGACTTGACGACAGGAGCTTAGGACAGACTCAATGATAGCAGAGTAGAACTGTTTCAGCAGTTCTATAAGAACTTCTAAATAAACGTGTCACAGAAAGTTTAAAGGAGAAAAAAATATGCTTGTGAAAAAAATATTGCGAAAAGGCTATACAAATACAGAAATGTTTACCTTCATGAAAAAAAAAAAGATACGCTGGCAACCTAACGCAAAGTAAATATTTTACAGAAAAAAAATATGCTTGTGAAAAAAATATTGCGAAAAGGCTATACAAATACAGAAATGTTTACCTTCATGAAAAAAAAAAAAGATACGCTGGCAACCTAACGCAAAGTAAATATTTTACAGATAATATTTAATAATTTGTTCTGGCCTTTAGTACAATGGCAGTATGAAGATAATTATTTATTTACCGTACAACACGTTATTATATATAGCCTATATATATCATCCAGAGTGAGTAAAAGAGCTGGCAAAATCTCGCTGGACCCATCACACCCAGTATATATACAATATACTGTTTACTGTCTATTGTGTATTGTTTTTTACATATTTATTTTTACTCACTTATTTTTATTTTGTTATCTGTGTCTTGTCACTTGTCAACCTGTCTGTGTACTGGAAGCTTCTGTCGCAGTCGCACACTTGGCAATAAAGCTCTTTCTGATATATATATATAATTTCATGCTAACTAGCACTTGCCTTTTTTACACATTGTATAAATGTTTTTATGCACAGAAAATATACAAACGCGTTTATGTTTTCTCATAAGTAAGGGTGTCATATAAAAGGGTCCTTTACATTAAAAAAAGTTTCAAAGTCCCTGACTTGGTGCAAATAAATTAGTTTATAAAATTAGTAATTTAGTTAGTGCATATAGTATTAATCCTCAGCCTCGTGTAACATAATTACGATTGACAAAATTATAGTTTGATTAGAATTTTTATTTGGTTATATAATTCAGCTTAGTCATTTACATTACGACTTTTAATAGAGGTTTAAGTGCTTTCTGTAAAATTTCAGGCAGTCACTGTTAAGTCCCGCCTACGTGCTATCCGTACATCGATGGGGGATGGTAGAAGCAGATACATGCCGAATTCTCATAGGCCTTCCCGAAATTCGAACCAACAACAGACATTTTGATTGGCTGATTCCACCGATCGGGCTGCCTCGAGCGTTCGCTGCTGAACGGGCCGGGGTTTATTGTTCCTCCGAGTCAAGAGGCGAAATAGATTGTAGACAGACCTCCCCGGATCCCATTCAAAGTAATACTTCGCTGAAATGGTATGTAATTCTTCAATACTGGTCCGTATGACTGTTTTCTATAACTCGAAATGTCCCTCCTTTTTGTTTTAGCTTATTTGTCGTCTTTTTAAAGATTCTGCGCTAGCTCTGAGCTAACGCTGGTTGGATTTTGCTCTTGCTAGCTCGCGGGAGTAGCTCGTGCTAATAGCCGTTTTGTAGTTACTCGTTATTTAATCACGACGTATGTGGTCCCTGTTTAAATGATTAGCGTATTGAGCCCGACTATCGTTTTGATTTTAACGGTTTTGTTGATAGACGTCGCAGCTGTTGTGAAATTTCTCCAAGCAGGATAGCTAAGCTAAACTCTATCCATTAGCGGCAGTGTGGAGCTCGCGCTGATCAGTTCATATAAACTTTATTTACTGTAACTGTACAGTTCTTCAGAGACCACCGACTCCTGTGAATTGCGTTATGCATTTTTTGTGTGTGTGCGGGTTAATGTCAGAAACACTGATAAACTGTATCGTAAGTTTAGCGTGGCAGACAGTCATATGAGCGGGAGATTTACCTGCTTTAACATGCTGTTAATCGACTCATTGGCCTTCATTGAAGTGGCAGATGGCATTGCTGAAAGTTTTTAGGTAAACTTTAATTCATTGGAAGGAAAAGCAGGATCCCATTCCTAATGGATGTTTTAATCATACCTTCTGGGCGGGAACGGTGCAAAGTGCCAAGAGAAGTGGAGTATTTTCTCCAAAACCCGCATTTTTTTTTTGTAGAGCTAAAGTATTCCGGTAGTTAGTTACTTATGAGTAATACATTAAAAATAAATGTTTTGATGTCTTGCACAATAGTAGACACCCTTAACTATAACACGCAGTTACATATATATTTTTTTACATGTAAAGAAAAAAAAGCATTATTTTGTGTAAATATACTGTATAAATTATTTAATATTCTGCAATATGAAATTTGCGTGAAATTAAATTGCATGTAATTTTGTACATATAAAAATGAAATGTAAAAGATACACTATGCATTTTAGTAATATATTGTTACATATCAAATATTATGCATTTTATAATATATTGTTACATATCAAAATTACGTGTTAAATTAAATATTACATTAAATATGTTAAATGTAATTTAATTTTTGTTAGTAAAAATGTTATATATTCTGCAAATGTTATTTTTACATAATTGTACATTTATTTTTTTTGTAATTTAATTTTTCTATGTGAATTGTAACATATTTGACATATAGAAATTAAGTATTACATATTTAATTTTTATATGTGAAATGCATTGATATGTTTTATTTTTCAATATGCTTTAAATATGCTGAAGGAAATACAAATGGTCTCATACTGTTATTGATTATTCTGATTGTTTTGTGCACTGAAATACTTGAATATGTTTGTATCTGAGTCTATGTATTGTTTTGTAGGCAGGAGGAAAGGCAGGTAAAGACAGTGGCAAGGCCAAGGCAAAAGCAGTGTCTCGCTCACAAAGGGCTGGACTTCAGGTAAGCCTCTTTTTTTTCTGTGCTGGTTTTACCTTGTTTAAATGTCCATTTGTTAGATATCCTTCAGTCAGATGGGTGTAGTTGAGGAATTTGTTAGGTCACAATTGTCAAAGAAAATGTCGGATACTACTTTCTAAGGGAATGCATATCTGAAATTTGTAGTTCCCAGTGGGTCGTATCCACAGGCACTTGAAGACCCGCACTACAAGCCATGGTCGTGTGGGAGCAACAGCAGCCGTCTACAGTGCAGCCATCCTTGAATATCTCACAGCTGAAGTAAGATTCTGTGCCACTCACTTTCAATACTGCAAAGCAAATTAATGCAGATTTGTAGCACGCTACTAATCGTGTTTAATTCTTGTCGTAGGTTTTGGAGTTGGCAGGAAATGCTTCAAAAGATCTGAAGGTGAAGCGTATTACTCCTCGCCATCTACAACTGGCCATTCGTGGAGACGAGGAGTTGGACTCCCTCATCAAGGCAACCATTGCTGGTGGTGGTATGTTGGAGTTTAATTTATTTTGTGCTGGTTGCAAACATGCTGCTCTCTTGACAAATTAGGATTTTAAGCACTTGTATGTTTGCTGACTTCTTGCAGGTGTGATTCCTCACATCCATAAGTCCCTGATTGGTAAGAAGGGCCAGCAGAAGACTGCGTAATTCCCGTTGGGGTCGCTATGCTGACATGGACTCAAGGACTTGCGTTTGGGATGTGTGACCAGATCGGCTTGTTCATCCGTTCATCCATTCTCTTTTTTTTTTTTTTTAAGTTAATATTAATGTTATACTAGCTAACCACAAGTGATTTGTAGAGTTTTGTGTTAATGTTATATCGCCAAAACTAGAATGGCAAATAAGCCCCGCCCCCCTCAACCCAAATGTCAGGTATTTTAGAGAGAGACAAACAGGAAGTGTCTGATCTTTCCTGCTGTGGCAGTGGAATTGTTTGAATTGGCCAGACCTATGGAGCTGTTTTATACTGAAAAATGGAAATAATAAAAACATTTTATACAAAACAAAAAATGTTGTTTGTTCTTTTGTATTGTCTGCCTTGGTCTTCCATATTTCAAATATATCTCAATGTTTGTGGGTGACAATGTGAACCAGGATTGTGTTATGTGCAATCACATTTAAACCTATATATATAGAGAGAGATAAATACACTTCAGCATACATAATATCAATATATAAAAAAGTAGTAATTTATGTATATAAAATATTTTAATAAAAGTTCTCATGTCCACTTGTTTAGAGCTTGTTAGTAGTAGGATATGTATGGAAATAATTTACTTTAAAGGGGTCATATGATGTTGCTAAAAAGAACATTATTTTGTGTATTTGGGGTAATGAAATGTGTTTATGCGGTTTAAGGTTCAAAAACACATTTTCCACATACTGTACATTATTGTTTCTCTGTCCTGCCTTTCTGAAACGCGTCGATTTTTACAAAACTCATCGGTCTGAAAAGCGTGAGCTGAGGTGGCGGGATCGAGAACGGCGGTCCCGGCGGTCCCGGCGGATCCGACGAAGCCGCTTCGTCCACGATGAAAGCCGATCCGGTGATCCACAGCGCAAACTTGTTGTATTTCCTCAGCGACCAGCACGGATCATCCTCTATCGTCCTCTTTTGGAAGGCCAAACTAAGTAGTTTCGCTTTCAGAACGAAACACGCGGCAACAACAATACTACAGCGAGAATAAAAGTTACGCCTTCTTTCTTTGCGTGAACATTTGGGCGGTGTTATGCAAATCTTCCCACATCATGACGTAGACATGTGGGGGCGTGTTAGAACGAGCCGTTTTAGGTAGGCGTGGTTGACTCTTAACTTTTATAAAGAATATCTCTTTGGATTTGAGACGTTAGTCTTTGCAACTTTACAGATCTTCCAAGAGCTTGTAACACTCCAAGGAGAAAGGAAAAATTTAAATCACATCATATGACCGCTTTAATAAATTTAGAAAGGAGCTTGTAACACTCCAAAGAGAAAGGAAAAATTTAAATAGCATCAACGACCCCTTTAAAATAATTTACTAAAGTGTGAAATGAAATTTTTTTTCAGATACTTAGTTTCATGTTATTTACAATTAAACGAAAATGTGTTCAAATTTGTTGAATACAAGTAGTTGCTCTTTACAAGTACTTCTTGACATATAAGCGCACCTTTACATGTACAATTCTTTTGTCCTTGAAATATAAAGTGCTCATTTAATTCAATTAAGCACATTTATTTTTCCACATATGATCTTTAAGATTCATATCAGTTGAAAGAAGAGTGTTGGTTAGTGTGCATTTATAATTGCATGTGGTGCTCAGTAATTGGATGCACAGCAGTACATTTACATGTGAAATGTTGAAAATTTTGAAGTTTATACCCTGATCAATTAAATCAGTAAGCCAGTTGATGTTTCCGTATGTAACAGGTGTTTTTATTGATAAATTGTCTAATATTATTAAAAAGTCTTCCGCATAGTAATAGTTCCTCTTGCCCAACTGTATGCTGTTTGGTTGTGAACTAGCGCACACGGACTGTGGTTTGGGCCGTTTTAAAACGTCTTTAAACGAGGATCACAGTCTGATAATGGTTAAAAGTCTGAATTTTAAACCACCGGATCGTCCGACCATGTAATCAACGATCCCAACACTGTTTCATTTTATATAGATTTTCCTCCTGTTTTCATATTTTTTTCTATGGGTAACAATATGTCGTCACAAAGTGTGGACATTAGGTGGCGATCGAAGACCACATAATCGCGAGTCAGTTTGAATTCTCTTAGAGATTTTAAATATCCTGTTTGCGTGTGGGAGGACATACTTGTGATTCTAAATTAAATAAATACATGCATAAATAAAATAATAATAATTCACTTCACCGTGCATTAAAAAAGACATGTTGATGACAGCCACTCGTGTGTGCAGTTGACAGGCTTAGATGCTGCCAACCAGCTAAGTTTGAATATCATACAGTGTTGTTCTTGTGTGCACCTGTGTTAGTTAAAGCATATTTCACTCTGAAATACACTGACGCGTTTAACAGTAAATCCTCCAAGTGGGTTCTTCTGGATTTTCTGCATAACCTTGAGTATGTTTACACACGGTCAGACTCCAGTCATGATAGAGAACTGGCGGATGCACATTGCACAAGCACCGATTTATTGCCTACCTAATATCATTTGTCCACATTAACCCTTTAGGTACCAAATGAATCTAAAGGAAGTCTTTGTAGCATCACAAAACTGAAAACATTCATACAGATGCAGAATGATGGTTTTAAATGTCCTATACTGCTGCAGCAAGGTTAATATTGTTAATCTGACCATGCAGCGCGCGTGTTTGTGTGTGCTTGTGTTTGTTAGACCTCACTGTTCTGCTGTGTCATGTTGCATATTAGATATGCAGTCAATCTGTGTGTGCGTGCAAGACTGAACAGTTTTAACCTGGGAATTAAAGCAAGATCTCACACACGACTGCAGGCTTTGAGTTATGGGACATCTGCAATGCAGAAGTCTATATATAGCAGAGAGATGGAGGAGAGCGATGGAGGGAGGGGGCTGAGGACAAGATACAATATTATCAATGGAAAAGTTGCCAGTCCCACAAATATTATTCAGTACTGCAGGTTTTTAGTGCTTCTTTGAAGTTCTGTTTTAAGCTAGCAGTCCAGAGTCATTGCACTGGTAAACATCACCATGCAATGATGGAGATATTTTTGTTATAATGCATAATGAGTTTTAAAAAGGTGATTAAAACATATAAATATCTAAGTCACAAAATTTAAGTATTAATATGAAAATTGTGCATATCATTTTTTTAAATAATTAATAATAAATGTTCTTATCATGTCCTGCATTACTTCAGCAATAATTAAATATCTCATTATTATTTATTATTTTGCTCTACATTTGAATGTACATTACATTACATTACATAAATGTAATGTAATGTAATTTAATGTATAATCATAACCATTAATGTTCACTGAGATTATTTCTGGCACATAATCATTGCTGAAATGAAGCTGTCTTTTAATAATTTAACTGATTAAATATTTCAGGACTTCTTTTAGCAGGAAATTGCTTAGTCAGAGTACTCTACATTTGAGTTGGTGGTTGACCATCTGCAAAATATGTTCACCATACAATGCATGATGTGGTCAAATATTTTTAAGTAATGACTATTAAACTGTATTTGTGTTGTGCCAGTTTCTTCTTGCATTAAGAAATCACTTAAACAAATCAATAATTCCATGTATTTACATTTTTATTCCAGAAAATAGCCATAGAAGTCAGATAATGTGCAGTCTGTCGGTCATTGCGACAAAACAATGACAATGATATCCCTTATTTAGAGTACTGTTCAAAATGTTGGGGTCAGTAAGATATTTTTAATGTGTTTGAAAGAAGTCTCTTATGCTCGTCAAGACGAAATTTATATTATTACATTTATAAAATGTTTTAAAAGAATTTAAAATAACTGTTTTCTATTTTAATGTATTTTAAAATATAACTTATTGCTGTCACATCAAAGCTGAATTTTCAGCATCATTACTCCAGTCTTCATTGTCATATGATTCTTCAGAAATTATTCTAATGTTTATTTTCTGCTCAAAAAACATCTCTTCTCATTTTATTGTTGTTGAAAACAGTTGTGCTGTTTAAAATGTTTTATGGAAACTGTGATACAATTTTTGATGAATAGAAAGTTCACAAGAACATTATTTATTTGAAGTAGAAACCTAACATTACAAACGTCTTTACTGTCACTTTTGATCAATTTAATGCATCCTTGCAGAGTGAAAGTTAAAAATAATAATAATAATAGTAAAAATCTTACTGACCCCAAACTTTTGAACAGTATTGTATGCTATTTGTGTGTATGCATTTACTGTACATGAATATGTTAAGTAGACTATATCAGAACTACCCAACTACAGCGCACTAAAGTTTCAATGCAAATCATTCAAAGTTCTAAAGTCATTATCATTCTGTATGACTCTATCAGAGGTAAATGAGAGGAATCTCATATGGAATAGCCAAATAATGAGAATCACCCACTGTCACAGATTTTGATGTGATTGATTCCCAAAGAGCTGAGAGCATTACATTTTGGAGCTGCTCTGGATTCGTCCAGCCAAGAACAGGAGATGTGCCGTCAGCAGAACGGGTGTTTGCTAGATGCATAATTTATAAGCTCTGTCTAGTCCCCCCCTCATAGGATATGCAGTAATAAAATACACCTCAGTCTAAAGCCTACAAAAAAAAAAAAAACTAAAGCCTTTCATGCTAACTGCCCTCCCTCGAACTCTGATTATCCATTCCTACTAAATAAGAATGTACACACAGAATAAACCATGGTACTGAATGATTACCATATTTTAGTGCTGTCAAACGATTAATCGCATCCAAAATAAAAGTTTTTGTTTACACAATATATGTGTGTATACTGTGCATATTTATTATGCATATATAAATACAAACACATGCATGTATATATTTAAGAAAAATATGTTATGTTTATATATTAAA